CCAGGGACCTGAGAAACAGGCTTGGAATAAATTTGGAAGATCCATATTTTAAAACACATTTCCCTCGTAGGAGCTCCAAGTGTGTTGTAGAGAGCATTTTATATTCATTGATGCTATTAAATAAGAGAGATACACCATATAACAATGAATAACATGCCAGGAGGATTTCTTTATGAATCATTTGCTCTTACTTCTAGTAATGGCCACCTCGGCTCTCCTTTTCCTACAGGGTGACAGCCACACAGCCTGACAGGGAAGACGCTTCCAGCTGTGGGCCCTGCCCATGTTTCCACCATTCCTCCAACACTAGTGTCAGATCCAACCACAACCAACTGTGTGAATGCACCATACTATTTTATATCTCCCTGCCTTTGTACACACAGTACCTCTACCTGGGAAGCCCTCTCCCTCCCAGTAAATTTCTCCTCATTCTTCAAGGACTAATTTGAATGTCACCTCCTCAGGGAAGCCTCTGCAAATCCCCTAATGCAATGATTCTCCAGCTTTCCTGTGCACCGGAATGCTGTGGACAGCTTTTTAAAACAGATTGCTGGCCTGCACCTCTGAGTCTTTGTTTTAGGAGGTCTGGTGGAGCCAAGGATCTGCATTTCTGATAAGTTCCCGGGTGATGCTGATGCCACACTTACAGCACTGCTGTCCTAAGGAGCAGAGAGTGTACTGTGCCCTTGAGCCCTTGGCTTCCTTCGCCACTCTCTTCACACCCTATTACACATTCCTGCTCACCACCATGAGCTCCTCAAGGATGGGAGCCTAGACTGTACTCACAACATGGTTACCAAACCAAAAGATGGATGGGTAGATGGATGGATGGATGGATGGATGGACAGATGAATGTATTAGACTGAATTTATCTACACAGCTTGTCCATCCAGGTCCATGATCTCACGAATGCCCATACCCACCCCACCTCCCAGAAAGGAACCTTGAAAAAATCACCTATAATAGATTCCCACTGTGCAGAGGAGGTCAAAATAAATTCAAGAAGAGCTTTGACATTGTGAACCTGTGTCAAAGGAGTTTTGACTACTAATCCAATGCTCTTTTTGTTTACTGAGGTGGCATTTAGGAGTCACAAAGAATGCCTCTGAGTGGCACCTCTCAGAGTCCTAACCTCCCCAGACCCTCCCTCCTTTTATTTATATATACGTAGTCTATGTGTGCATGTATCTGTATGCACACACGTGCGCACGCTCACACACACACACACACACACACATACACACACGGTGATTTCATCTGTAGAAGGTAGAGGAAGGTGGTAAGAGAAATAAAAGAAGGCAGGAGAATCCAGCCTCCCACAGGGAGGAGAAGGGCAGCAGCTCAGGCGGGGAAGACCCCATCAGAAAAGTCCTACCTCCCAAGGTAGGGGGGTTGTTTGAGCGCCAAGCATCCCTGGGCCGCCTGGAGCTGAGGCAGAGAGGCAAGGGCACAAAGGAAAGGGGACAAACCTACAGGAGAGACAAGAAGCATATATTCAGGAGAAAATGAGACAGGAGGAGAGGAACAAAGGCAGGAGAGCATGAGCCGGGAGGGGCGGGAGGACGGGAGGAGCAGCAGTGAGTGCTGAGCTGGCAGTGCGGGGCAGCGGGGCCGGGGGAGGTCAGTGCTGGCTCCAGCACTCCGTTCTGCCCTTTCAGCAGCCGCAGGAGCAGTGATGAGCAATGGGCTTCGCTGGAGACCCAGCTGGGGGGAAGCCGCCAGGGACAGCAGGAGGACCAAAGTCAAAAGGTCTCAACTGCTGCAGGTGGTACAAACATGGATGCCCGTGACACTGGCAACTCCTGAGTCTGCAGGGCTGTGCTCACAAGCAGCTAGGGTCCCCCCCGCAGCTCTGCTAAAGAGGGAAAAGTCTGCGTTCCCACCTCGCTGGCACCCAGAACTTTTCCTGGAGGAACTGCAGCTTAGCCTTTTGGATGAACCTCTCCTGTCTCCCTCCCCCACTCAAAAGCTTTGCCAAGGGAGGACCACAAAGCGGAGACCTCAGAATGCTGCAGAGCCGTCACATTTGATTCACCACACAGCCCAGTGGCGTTTAGGGGCAGGATGGATGGGAGCCCACCCCCCACCCCAAACAGTGGGAGCAGCTAATGACTGGGTATTGATGATGCTGGCAATTAGCGCTCACGAGAAGATGGTTGGGGTTGCAGGGGCGGGGCACCCCCCAGGGGAATGTGGGAGGGAACAGAGCACACATTCGGAGCAGCAAGCAGATCAGCGGCGTTTGTGCTGCAGAGAACCTGGGAAGAGCCGCTGTCTCTCGGATCTGTCCAGAGAAACAGTGGAAGAGAAAAGGGATGGCTCCTGTGGACACTAAGGGCCTTTCTGCCCCACCTTGCCCGCTAGTAAAATTAGAGGTAATCACAGACTTCTCAGAGGCCTTGTGAAGAGATGTCCCTAAAAAGTTGTTTGTGAGGGTTCTGGAACCTTCCTCGTGTGAGGAGGCTCCAGATAAAGCCCCAGTACAGCTATTCTTTTCTATGCAGTTTAAAACTGCATAGTCGGACGATCCTTTTTGAAGAGCCCCGTTTCTCATCAGCAGGGTGAGAGAAGAGGGGCGGAGGGGGTCGGAGCAAGAGACAAGCACTGACAAATCCCCAGAGAGGACAACACGCAACGGGGTACGATTTCTTAGGGCTGCGTCTCCATCCAGGAGGAGAAAGGACCCGCTTCCTTCCTAAGCAAGGCCGCCCGGCCTCACGGTGAGGACACGAGGGGAGGGAAGACAACGACCCACGAGACTGCGTGAGGCAATCCTGGCAGACAGAGGAAAATGTGGGCCGGGGCCCATCTCGAAGTCAACAGCCAGCCGGGAGGGGCGGGAAGGAGTCGCTAAGGAGGAGACCCCTGGTCCACTTGGGGCCCGCAGGATACCTGGGGGTCCACAAGAAGCCTCCCTCTGCAGCTGCCATCACATGCACACCCATGGAAGGGACCCGGACAAAAGAGAAGCACTCCAAGCCCCGCAGCGCGAGGAAAGCCCTACACACGGGGACAAAACGGCCTGACATTTGAGAAGAGGTGTAGAGGAGATAAGCCAGCACTGGGGTGGGGGGGGAGGTGAGAAATAACACCACGCTCAGGAGTACTTTAGAAAGAGCAGCCATCTCTAATACACACTTTCCAGGTCGCAGCCCAGATCGCCCCAATCAAAGGGGAGCGTTCTCAGGCGCCTCACGGCAGGAGACAGTAGCGACGCCTTGGCCACTTAGATCAGAGAAGGAGATGGGGAAATGCGAAAACCAGCTGATCAGTACAGGTCAATATATTTTCCTTTCTGGAAGACCAGGGTGTCTGGACCAAGGGAACCCCGACCAGGGAGCAGGCGGGGACCTCAGCGTGGGAGCTCCCCAGAAGCCGGTGCGGGGAGGTGAGCACCTCCTGCCTGCTTTTCAGGCTCTGCCCACATGAGAATAGAAGGTAAGAAAATAAGGGGTCTCTCACATGTAAGGCTTGAATCCTGAAAGTGAGCAAGAATTACATAAGGTGCTGTGGGCTGAGCTGCATCCCTCTAAAACTCGCGTGCTGAAGCCCTGACTCCCAGGCCTCAGGATGTGACTATATTTGGATGTAGGGCCTTTGAAGAGATGCTTAAAGAACAAAAGTTAAAATGAGACTCTTAGGATCGGCCCTAATCTAATCTCACTGGTGTCCTAAGAGAAAGAAATTTGGACACAAAGAGACAGCGGAAGTACGCACGCACAGAGGGACGGACGACTATGTAACGGGGCAGCAAGAGGGTGGGCGCCTGCAAGCCAAGGAGAGAGGCTCAGAGACACTCAACCCTGGTGGCACATTGATCTGGGACTTCCAGCCTCCAGAACTGTGAGAAAACCAATCTCTGTTCTTCAAGTCAGCCAGTCTTTGGTATTTTGTTATGGCAGCCTAGGCAAACTCAGACAGAAGGCAGTGCCACAAGGGGAAAGAGGGCTGGGGGTCAGGAAAAACCCACACTAATGCAAAGAAAGGTCTTGGCCGAGCTGTGCTCATTATTTCAAATACTTGGTGAAGACAGCCAGTTGACATCAGTTGACTGAGCTGACTGACTGAAAGCCATGGGAGTCACCCTTAAACCCTAGAGTCTGAATATTTTGAAAAGTCTGATTTCTTTAATTACTTTGAATTGTTCATTTTAAGAACACCGACCACAAAATCTTATGAGCCAAATAAAAAACACATGGCATGTCCACAATTATCCTTCACCTCATGATCCTAGAATGACCCATCTCTTAAAGCAAGCCCTAAAGATCCCATTATCTCATCCCATTCTGAGTTTGGGGTAGTCCCAGAAGCCATAAGGAATGTTGCAGAAGTAAGTCACGTGGTGAATGCTAAGCCCTTTGTGACTCCCTAAATAGTAACTGGAACTTGAGGAAGGAAAGAAGGAATAGAAATGGAAACCCAAGTCTTCTGGATCATTTGGGGTCTTCAGAGCCCAGCATCTCAAATGACAAGAGCACCCAGGTCATGTTCGTTCAAACACAGAGCATGGAGGCTCCAGGGCAGTATTTCCAAGGCAGTAGAGCCTTGAACCAAAATGTGACCCTATAAGAGCCAAGACAATAGATTGAGAATGTTCTACATTTCTTGGTGGCCAAGGAGACATTTGGAATGTCTGTCTGAATTGACACACTGCAGGGCTATGCCCAACTCAGGGGAGCAGCCGTGAATAGATCTTCTGGAGCTGAAGGAAAAGGGTAGCCGGTCTGTCGTTTGACAATGGCCAGGTAAGGATGTTTCCCTTTTGCCTTAATACTTACCTTTGTCCTCCGGGAGTAGAGCTGGGTATGTTCCCCTGTCCAGCTCACTCCCAGCCTGGGGCTCGGCTGACCCACAGGGGCATCTGGGGCTGGGCTGAAATACCCAACTCACCACAGGTCATCGAGACCAATCACCAGGTGCCACCAGAAGATGCCAGAGGTGAGAAAAAGGAACGCTCCACCCACCTCATCACTCCCCCAGCCCCACAACGGGGAACTCACGTCTGTGGTTCTCGTTTCTGTGGCTGGGTGGGGACCGGGTCTCCTGGTCTTGGGCCTCATCCCCTTCCTCGCTGGCCAGGTGAGTGTGAGCATAGTGGTAGCTGAGTCCCGGCCGATTCTTGTAGCGCTTGCCGCAAACTAGAGGGGTAAGAGGAAAGGAAGGGAAAACACAAAGGTTAGCAACCTCTGCGGTCCTGGCCATCATTCTCCCAGGCAGTGACTCCTGTCCAACCTCCCCAGGGCTGGGTTTCCCTTAAAAAAAAGTCTCCTACTCCCAACACCCCCCATCCCACCGGATGGAACCAACATCACTACAGCAAAACAACCCCAGGTAAAGTACAGCCATACAAGTAGAGGCTGGGAGTTAAACAGTGTAAGAGTACCATCATTTCCTAGCTGTGAGCCCTTGGGAAAGTCACTTGCCCTCTCTGGGCCTCAGTTTCTTCACAGGGAAAATGGGAATAATAATAGTATTTAGCTAAAGGGTTATGATGAGTTCATCTCTATGCAAAGCACTTGGAACAGAGCTGGGCACATGATAAGGGTGATAATTATTGTAACAACTTTGAAGTTAAAAGACACTGGGAATCTACTGAGTTCCAACACCCCATGGCACAGGTGGGACAAGTGAGGCTCAGCAAGGCTAAGTGGTTTGCCTGGGGACACACAGCTAGCTGTGGCAGAGAGCCCAGTCTCCTGGCTTCCCATGCGGTACTCCTTTCACCACTCTGTGGTTGACTCTGCATGAAGCACAAAAGCTTTATATGGGTTATATTTTTAAGGTATCACCCAGTGATTTTGTGCCAGAAAAACACATTCCACTTCCATCATGAAAACATGAGTCCGAGGCATCCTTGGTAGATGTGGCAACCAAGAACTCATGCCCTTGATGGCCCGGGAAGCGTCTGATACCCCAAATCTCTAAGTATGTGTCCTGGTAGGCACCACCTCTCAAGTGGACAGTAGGAGACAAGGACAACAAGCAACACAAATACGGCTTCCTGGAGCCAAGAAGAAAGGGGCAGCTCCGTGGGTTGGCTGCTCAGTACCTGAGAAGCAGAAGTCTGGCTAAGTGGCTAAGACTGGACCACTATCTGCACCCTTCCCTCAGCCACAAAGCCCAATATCTCAGCCCCTGGAGGGGTGGCACTGATGGTAGCAGAAGCCTGAGGGTCTTCCAGGAAAAACCTGGTGCCAACCCTCTCATCTTGTCCCCACCTCTCCCAGCAGAGCCATCCCCACCAGATCTGCTGGAGCCCCCGAGCTTGCCAGCTTGAAGAGGCTCTCTTTTCACGTGACTGGGCGACAGCAGAGAGTGTGAACACTTCACAAGGTGGAAAGAGCACAGACTTCATTATCAGACTTGGGTTCAAATCCCACTGCCAGGCGCTGACCCAAGCTGCGAGACCGCCACAGTGTGGAGGAGAACAGGGACCCAGCCATCTCACCCCATCTCCTCGTTGCTTCTGATAGGGCTTTCTTCCTTACTAGGATCTCGGAGGTTTTTCAGGTATTATAACCATTGGCAAAAAATAATGTCATCTCTTCTTTCTCATATTTATATGAAATTTTTTATCTTCTTAGCTTAATTTGTTTGTAAGAATATCGAGACAACATTTTTAAATGGCAAAAGCAAGCTTTTCCTATTTTAATGAAGTTGGATTTATGTGATATAAGTAGCTAGTTTTTCATCTTTATCAAGTTTAAGTAGGTCCTCTTACTCCTGACGTAGAGTTTTATTATAGGAGAGTTTTATTAGCCACCCTTTCAGCATCTGCTAATATATGAGTCTCCTTTCGTCGGTTGATATGGTGAATTATATTGATCTCCTAATGCTTCTGACTAGGGAGCCATTCTTGCATTCCTAGGATAAACCTCGTTTGGTCAAAGCATAGTATCTATTCGATACACTGCTGCATTCTATATTCTAATTTTGTATTTTGCATCCATACTAAGACTTGAGATAGAGCTACAATTTTTGGCCCACCTTTTATCATGATTTTCATCTCTATGGTTATCTTGACTTCCAAAAATGAATTGAGGAGTTTTGCTGTGTGAAACTGGACAAGATACATAATCTCTGTGTCTTTTTTTTTTTTTTACTTTTGATTTTTTGGGAGGAGGTAATTATCTCTGTGCCTTTTTCTTAAATCTGAAATAACAGTACTACTTACCTTGAAGGATTATTAATAATAATTGTATAGTATCACACTCAGTACATAGTACATAATAGATGCTCAATAAACGGCAGTGAGGGGTGAGGGGCTTCAGAGTGGCCTGCCACATCTTAAGTGCTGGGCCCTCCTGAAAGGGGACTTCGACCCTTTCCTCTACTATGGAATCTGGCAAGTGGCTGGACTTTCTTACTAAGGTGAGAGTCTGAAATTCAGGTTGGTGACCTAGTGACTATAAATTCAAGTCCTACAAATGGCTTCCTCTCTCTTGTAAGCATTGCAAAAAATAACAACATGGCACTACACACATCAGTTCCATTTGACTCAGGAAGTGAGACACGTGAAGACCCCCACTGTGGCCCTGCTGGTGGCTTTTTCTATCTAAACTTTTAAATGATCTAAGGTCAATAAGCAGCAAATTATGGGGTCATTCGATATAAATCCATTTAGTTAGCAAGCATACTCCTAGTGAGAAATAAATGTTTATTAAAAATAAAAACAGTATGTCACTATTTATATGGGGAAGCCTCAGCTGCCTCTACAGATCTCCCCACTGCACCCTCCACAGAATTTTATTTGTGCCACTTTGTTTTGTCAATTACCACTGTCTTCCTTAATCAGAATTTCAAGATTTTAAGAGTCATGTGGTCTAGTTATCTATCAAATTGCTTTATTCCCATGAACACTCTAGATGCCTTCCTGGAACAACTCCACTGATGGGGAACTCATTACCCATCCAAGCAGGCATTTCTTGTTTGATCTCCTTGAACTATAGTTCTGACTGTACAGGAGGACCTCTCTTAAGGACAGCTTCCTACTGATTTCATCTTCATAGCAACAACTCCACCTCACACACTGCCATGCACATTTTGCACCTTCAAAACACATCCATTGAATAGTTGATGGGTGAACACGGCAGCACTTTGTGGGAACGCCAGGAGATTGGGGAGGAGGTAAGCATGAGAATCGGATCCATCTATCCACATCAATCTCGCATTAACAGTTCTTAAAACCTACAAAACTAAACCCAAGATAAAAGCTCCCCAAGTCTCCTTCCCCAACACCAGAAAGAGTAGTTCTTTTTAGAACAGATCCTTTTGCTAGAAGAGAGATTCCCAAAGAGTGGTCCCCAGACCATCAGCATCACCTGGGAAGTTGTTAGAGATGCAAATTCTTGGGCTCCACCCCAGACCTACCGAATCAGAAACTCTCGGGGTGGGGCCCAGCAATCTGTTTTAACGGCCCCGCAGGTGATTCTGATGCACACTACAGTTTGAGAAACACTCTGCCGGAAGACAGAATATATGGAGGCTTGACTCTGCCTGCCCTTGGGTGGAAGTGGCAGGCGGGGGCAGCAGGAGGAAGCCCTGAGACCTGAGTTTGGTTATTAGAAGAAACAGAACCAGAAAGCACAGGGACATCCTGGAAGCTGGACCCCTTAACCACGATCCTTATAGGCAGAGATTTCCGGATAGAGCTCCATTTTTCTCCACCTGCTTATAGCATGTCATTCCTTCATCACCAGGTGATGAAGGTCAAGAAAACATTTACTAAATACCTAACATGTGCCCAGTCTTGAGGCACCAGAGAACAAAGATAAAAGAGCCCCAGTCCACTCCCTCCAGGAGTCCACAGTCTAGAAAGAGGAGACATACACATCAACTAGCAAGGAGGGAGCGGGGAAAAACGCACTAATGGGAGCATGTGCCAGGCAAAGAGGAGGGGTCAGCACACAGGCTTGAGGGGGTGATGGGGACGGCTTCCCAGAGGAGGTAGATGAGCTGCAGCTGTGAGACAGTAAACATGACCGGGCAGACAAAGGAGGAGGGCATGAGAGCACCAAAGCACATTCTGTCAGAACCTTTGGAGAACTGCAGGATATTCAGTAAAGCCAGTGGGAAGGGGGCATGGGGGTGGGCATGAGGAGGACTAAGGAGAGGAAGGTGGGCAGGACTTCATCCTGACAATGGGGAGCCAGGGGGGATTGTACCCCAAGGACCAACTTAATCAGATTTACATTTTAGAAATACTGCTTAATAATTATCAGAGAAATGCAAATCAAAACTACAAGGAGGTATGACTTCATACCGGTACAAATGGCCATCATTAAAAAGTCCACAAGCAGTAAACACGGGAGAGGCTATGGAGAAAAGAGAACCCTCCTACAATGTTGGTGGGAATGTAATTTGGTGCAGCCACTAGGGAAAACAATATGGAGATTCCCTAAAAAACTAAAAATTGAGTTACTGTATGATCCAGCAATCCTACTCCTGGGCATATATCCAGAGGAAACTCCAATTCAAATAGATACATACACCCCAATATTCACAGCAGCACTATTTATAATAGCCATGACATGGAAGCAACCTAAATGTCTACCAATAGATGACTGGATAAAGAACTTGTGGTGTATACACACACACACACATATACACATGATGGAATACTACTCAGCCACAAAAAAGAATGAAATAATGCCATTTGCAGCAACATGGATGGACCTAGAGATTATCCTACCAAGTGAAGTAAGTCAGACAGAGAAAGACAAATATCATATATCACTTATATGTGGAATCTAAAAAAATGAGACAAATGAACTTATTTACAAAATGGAAACAGACTTACAGACATAGAAAACAAACATGGTTACCAAAGGGGAAAGGTGAGGTAACAATAAAGTAGGAGTTTGGAATTTGCAGATACTAACTGCTATATATAAACAGATACACAACAAGGTCCCACTGTATAGCACAGGGAACTATATTCAACATCTTGTAATAACCTATAATGAAAAAGAATATATATATAAATGTATAACTGAATCACTGCTGTATACCTGGAACTAACATAACATTGTAAGTCAACTATACTTTAATTTTTAAAAAAATACCGCTTAAGACTATAGTGTAGAAGATGAATTTGGAGGTGGCAGAGACTATTTTAATTTCCAATGTGTGAACAATG